TAAGTCTTGACCCCAGTGAATACAGCCATTTAGGTGATTGGACATATTGCAGTGACTCTTCATAACATTCTGAAATATGACAAAAAAGACATGACTAAAATTGTCTTGTTTGGTAAAAAATTAAGGAACACAAATTTTCGACAACAGGGATAAAATAGTTGGGTGGTTAATTGTCTGGTCAGAAAGTCATCAGGAATCAACAATGAAGACTTCCCACCTGCTCTGGGCAAGTAAAATGCCAGGTCAGGCTAGAAAGGATGTGGACCAAACTCCAACTATGAATTTGCTGTTTGCTGCTGCAGTGTGAGAGCAAGGCTTCCGAAAAACTTTGCTGGAGTTCCATAACAAGAGCCGACAGCATCTCACTTGCATGGCAGATAAAAGGGCTGCTGACAGCCCTCCTCCTGGGCCTTGCTGGTTCTTGTACAAAACATGACGCTGAGGCAAGTCGGGTAATTGGAAATCTGATTACCACAATGTATCATGTCTCAAAAAAATGTGCAGCCGCTCACTGCACACTCCAGTGCAACTGCTCTTTAACAAAAGAACAGCATTGACCTAGGTACGCAGATTAACCATGACAATTAGCTTTAGTCTTTGTTATGTTATGCTAATAAATACAATAATTTGTATAGGTGCAAGTAAACGTTGATTTTGGAAAAGTAGATTTCTGATCCACTTGCCTGACCAGTCAAGTGAAGAAAAGAAACCCTTCATCAGAATGTAAAATAATGACAGTAGCATGAAGAGATGTCTGGAGGACTATGTGCTACACATAAATAAAACTCTTCATTTACTTACTTAACTGTACAAGTCATCTATTCATTTACAAAAACCCATTATTTTAAGTTGCAAAGATTTGTCCTAGAACTGTAAAATGCAAGAAACAGTGTTGACACTTCTTGCCAGCATACTTACTTGAGGAAGTATCTCTGGCCAGAGGCAGTCTTGGCCATCTCCCACCCAGGGGGCAGGGGCACGTCATCAGGAATCTCATAAGAAGGTTGACGGAGATGTTGTGGGGAGGCACCTGCTGGGGGCATGCCAGACAGGGAGCCACCAGAAACAGCTCCCGAAAGCAGGGAGGCCGGGGATGAGTGTGCACGGACATGGTGGGGTGTCAGCGCTCCGCCACTCCCAGCATCAGTACTGGCCTGTGTTGGAAGAAAAGCAGTATGAATGCAGTCCCATAGACCTGTTAAATAATGTGATTCCCTTAGGCACTTCTTAATTTTACTTCCATTGTTATGAAGACAATTAGGTTTGTCTAAAACCTAAGCTTGTTTGAGTATCTCTAGTTAAAAATGTTGAACAGAAAAAACACTGTAGTGTATTTGAGGCCAGCCACAGACAATGGGCACACACCATAAATGGTTATTCATTGTTATGGACTTCAATCAGTCTACATACATTAACCTGATTTAACATTTCAGTCACTTATATATTATAATCCCTCCACATACAGGAAGTTATCTAAATGTTGTCTAAGTCCGAGGATGGGGGGATCCAAGGCCTGTGTGGGGACAGAAGAGAGCGCAGACACTGTTGCAACGCATGCGCACTGACGACAAAACTGAGACCACAAGCAACAGTTGTGGGGGACGGGAGGGGGAGGGGGAGGGGGGTAAATAGGACGAATTCAACAATCATAAGATTTCTGATTGCAAATCATCAATACGAAAAACTCCGTTTTAGAGAATCCCTTTGATAATTTCCACATGATTGCTACCCGTAAATAAACTGCTGCTGAACTGTCCTGAGTAGGTTCAGCCAATCTGACAACTCACTAGTAATATTCCTCTTCTGCAGATCCCTTTTCTTCATTAATAAGGCTAACAAGTAATAAGGCCAAACAAATGGCTTTGGCTTCTTTAGAACTTTTTACGCACAGGGCCCAAGGGCCTGGTTTTGATAGTGATTATACCAATGTAATTATAACTTGGTTGGAACTCTGAATCAGATGTATCGTATTAAAAAGGTGTGTGAGTACAGGGTAAATGATCCTTTTTAGTGCAAATAATAGAGGATTCTGTATCCTACATTTTACGACGTGCCTCTCAAAGCAAAGTGGTAATATCCTAAAGGCTATAAACAACTTCTACTTGGGATAAAGTATTAACTGACTGTAGCAGTCACGTACTGTAGGCCTGAGCCCCCACAGGATGGGCCTCGCTTTAATCGTGATTTCTGGGAAGGGGCAGAGGAGAGACAGGGCGCGCTTACTTGTCTGGAATGGGACTTTGGTTCAGGAGGTTTGAAGAAGGAGTCTGGCAGCTTCCTCATCCTCATGGGTACGGAAGGGGGGACGATAGTGTTTTTCGGGTTCATCACGGCGCTGAAAAGCGCCTCCAGGTCGGTCTCAGAGTCGCCCCGTACATGGACGATTTGGTGTCCGGCAGGAGGGTTATGCTGGCTCGGATCCATTGCCCCAGAACAGTCTGCGAACTGTATGTGTCCGAAAATGTTTTGTTCAGAAACTCACAAAAAGAAGTTTGAGCCAATCCCAAACTTTTTTTCTTCTTCCACACAGCAGGAAAGCAGGAAATATCGACGGCACTCAGTAAAAGTTATCCCGAGTCATTCTAAAGTTTAACAGTCCAGTACTTTCTTTTTTTCCCCAAAGTGTGTTAGCTGTCGAAATCTGCAGTGAAAGACAGCGTTTTCCTGTTGTTTCTTGCTGGCATACTTGTGAATGTAACAAAGCGCATATCTACTCCACACTGGAATCTATGTTGTCGTCCCGGCCCCAACTTTTCCAACAAAAAAAAAAGGGGAAAAAAAGCGCAGACGCAGCCACAAAAGACGAAAAACACAACAAACGCGAGGCTGGAAGAGTCCCTCTCTGCGTTTCGGCCAAGCTGAAGCTGTTAGTGAATATTCGTACAAGAAAGATTCATAGTTCGTAGAACAAATCTCCGCAGCTCACTTTCTAGAAAAAAACTTTTGCTTCAGTCGGGTCTAAACTTTGGGCAGGACATCAAACTTTATGACTCATGGGATGTCTGCCTCAGAGGCGGGGCTTTGCTTTAATTGGGACAAGAGTGTTTAAAGGTACAGTCAGTGCAGCCCAGGGGCCCGACAAGGTCCAGGGGCCTCCAGATTTATTTATGCCAAAGTTTTCCCGTTTACATCAAAGCATGAACTTCCATTAAATAAATATGAACCAATATTTGATTGAATATATGTCACAACTTTTGTTAAGATGTTAAAATCCTCTTTCCTCAAACCTCCATTTGACAGGAGTTTGACAGACTCCATATGACATGGTGACTTTTGTTGTTGTTTATTTAATAATCGCTGGAGAAACTGAACAGTCATTCTTGCACATTAATTAAATCATCCGGGCAACAATTGCTGAATTAAGGTAGTCCTATTGCCATTTTGGCAACCCCCTGGATACGACAAGGACCCCTGCTGATCCCTGATTTTCCAGCTGGAGCCCACTTGGGAAAACATTGAATTATGGCTCATTTGCAGACCAAAATGTAGAGTGTTAAGTATATAGAAAAAATACAATTTATTTGCAAGTTTCAGAATTTGTTCAGATTTAGTATCCTCACTTTTAAAATCCTATTTGTTTTTATTTCTACAGGTTTATGCATTTTAAGTGCATTTACATGTTACATAAAAATGTGTTTATTTATTTAGAAAATAGTGTGTATGTATATGCTTCTCAGTGTTTATGTGTAAAATATCACACATTATGGCTATGTATGATATATTTACACAACTCAGTGATTTGAACAATAATCCAAAATCAAAAACACACTTTCTCTCATCACTATGCATAATGGTACTATTTCTTTCTCTCTCTCTCTCTCTCTGTCTTTTTTTTTTTACAGTGCTCATGAAAAGTAGATCCATGCAGTTCCCACAATTGTTATGCTAATGAGGCCCCTCTTCCATTGAGAAATCATTTTGTCAAGATCCACTCTCTTTGGATACAGAGGCTCTGTTTCAACTCTTTTTCCCATACATCCACTGAATGAATGATTATGAAGCCCTATTAAATACCCGCAGACACTGTAAAGCCCAGATGAACAGATTAAAGAGCTTCCCTCTGCCAGTCACATTATCTTTATAAACAGATGCACGTCTCAAGTTTAGTTTGTCCCAGTTTGTTATTTATGTTTTTCTCATTTAATTTAGAAACGTTGTCAACTTTAAAACATCTAAAATAATATAATAAATAATATAATAAAATGGTTAAAAATACTCAGCATGCAACAGGTCCAATATTATGACTTCCTGGTATTAAGGGATAAATTGTGGACATTGATTAATTATATTTATCCAATTCCTGTATCAATATAATATTCTTAACTGTCCTAGGCTAAATTCTGTTATTTGTTTATATTTCCATTAAGGCACACTAAAGGATTAGGCTATATAATTCACAACAAAGTTGTCTGAAAAAGGTTTTAATGTCTGTGCAATATTGAATGATAATTCTACAAGGGCACATATTTTGATTTATGAAGGACACATTCTGTGCATACATGCTGCCAGTCAAGATATGTCCATTGTTTGGGTGAAAGTGGTCATTTTCACATCATTGTAATGCACTCAGACACATTAAAGAGATGGACTGCAGTGTCCCGGCAGCCCTGAGGGGACCACCCACTTGGTCACTTTTGGTCAACATCTCCTCATCCTTCAGAAGGACTCAGTGTCACTGAGGTTTTGGTGTGATGCTGTGGAATATCAGCAGAAACCATTTCCTGGGCTCCATTTGACTGAATCGATGGTGGGTAATGAAAGACGGGGCGACTATAGCAGTCCTCCCTGTTTAAAACGCGTTGGTCTGGTGTTATTATCGGATATAGTGACGCACAGTGTTGCTACAGGCAGATAGGCAGATGGGAGCTGGAGTGCCCCCTACTGCGTACATACAGGCTATGTGTGCAGATTATAATAAACAAACAGGCAAACTTGGTCTCTCTCTGTTACCCACTTCTTTCTGTTTGTTTTCCCTTTAACATGAATTCATCAACTACAATATAGTCAGGACCACGTTGGAAAATATAAGTTATTATATGTTAACTTTGAGTGTTTTTATCATATATTATTTTTCAGTTTTATGAGTAAAATCCTTAGATTTATTCATCCATTGTGTAGCTGTGTTATGTAATGTGTATATTGTTTTATAACACAGTAAAAATAAACCAACCAGTTTTTAAAAAGTTATGATTAGTTTCAATATTTTGTCTTCATGTTGTTGTTGATCATAACCGTAACCTGCCATCCAGTTAGTTCTCTTTTTACATGCATGCGTGCAGTAATTATTCAGTTTTGAAGAAACTGAGCCAGACCACTCATTCATTGCATGTCAAATGGACTGTAACAAAACATGACAGAATACTCCTGAGATTAAGCGTCACAACAGACCAAAGCACAAGCTTGAACTCGCATCTGGGGAAATGTCTACCCTTATTTTCAGCACTCTTGCCCTTTCTTGTCGGGTTTCTGGGTGTTGTGCTGGTTAAGGCTTAAATGTCATTAAGCTTACTATTGTATGATATAATGACTCTGAACATTAACGGTAATAGGCCAAAGGGAACAGATTTTAGAAACAACCTGCAGCAGAGTATTCTGAGTAAAAGTTTGGTCGATGCTGTGCAGAGAGTTTGCACAGATGAACTCTTACTGTACATGATATTACTGTTACTGTTCTTTCTCTGTGCATGGGCATTCTGATTTATTAACTCATATATGCATCATCAGCAGGATATATTTTTTACTTAAATATTGTTTTTTATAAATACAGGACATTGTTTTTAGTAACACTTAAATAAGTTAAATATCAGAATTGACATATTCAGATAAAGTGTCACTGTTTCCCCGCCTCTGATGACATTTTGCCCATTGGCTTAAAAGTGACATAAATGTCCCTCCTCAAATAACCACAGTGGACATCTTTTGTCCTTTTTATGAGAGAATCTCTTTGCACACAATTTGTCAAAGGGCTTCTGTTCCTGCAGGCATCACCACACACCAAAGCTGAGCATATTTTCTCCTTTTTCTCTCTTCGTGTATGTCCTCAGTTTTGGTGTAAGATAACAAGATGATGCATGACTCTACATGGCAGTGAGATGCCACAGTCACATCATTGTTTACAGCTCCTTGTTAAAACACTCAAGAATGTATGCATGCATAGAACCAGAAACCTGCAGTTAAACCAAAAAAAGTTTCATCACAGATGGGAGCCTGAATCTTCAAGTGAGCTTGGGCTTCCTCCACCTCTTGGAGCAAGTCCTAACAGGCTGACTGAAGGGCAAAACCAGACATGCTGGTGAAGGAGGGGCAACTCCTTCAGAACACACATCAATAATCCCTGCAGCTTTTTTCCTTAAAGCACCTATTTTTTGGAAAGGGAGACAGAGATACATTTATTTAAATACTGCATTTTATTATAAAAATGTAGTAGCTGACAACTAAAATCAAATATATGCTCTAGTCTACTGATGTTACTCTATGGACAATTTAAAATGAAATAGGAACTAAAGCAAGAGTAAGGTTCAGGGTAAATGCAATTGCAGTAGAAGGCAGGAGGCCCTCTGGCAGAGACTCGCCTTGTTAAGCCAGTAGGTTGAGTCTTCTGCACAAGACATAATCATCCCTTCCACAGCCATCAAAGAACACACCTTTAACGTTGCAACACATTCTCTCTAGAAACCATTTCCGGTTGAGGAAATACTAACACTGTCAAACACACTGCACCCACACAGTTTATCAGTATGTAGACAAGCTTTATTCAGTTCACCGCCAATATGGTCTTAAAATAGCTTCCATAAAATTATAGTTTTAATATATAAAATAAATACAGAATAGGACAGCATAGAAAATAAAAACTAATCTTGTACAAATTTACAGTCTATATTTTGCAGTCAATTCTAGTCATGTGTCAATTATAATTCATTTGTGAAATAAAAACAAACTGAAGTCAGTACAATTTTCAGAGGCACTTAGAATTTGACTGCTCAATACTAAGTGGCTTTTTTGAGACAATGTGTTGTTATACAAAGTATTTTCATCTTGACAACTTAAAAATTCAGCTTGGTCTAATTCTGCTGATATGTTTTATTGTCTCTACAGTCCATTGATGCTAATGCCTTAGATTTTTAAGTCACTCCAGTGGACATATTTTGTTTTAAAGGAGACTGAGGTCATTTTACAGGGTAATTAAGGGGTTGGTTATACAGTGTGACGCAGGACAGGAAAAATTGCACTGATGGGAGAGAAGACCACTGTGGACCACACATGCTTCAGGTCAGATTTTCTTCTGGTATCGAGACCGGTTGTTAGCTGAGGATGTGCGGTGCTTTGTGACTTTCACTTCCCTTGTCTGAAAACAATGGAAGCAGGTAAGTAATAAAACATGTTCAACAGTCCCCTTATATCCTGAGGCAAACACTAGAACCCTTAGAAATTCATACTTACAGAGGGTCCATCAATAAGTACAAGGCCACGCGTGCCAGTATTACTCCTCACATGTTCCCGGACACCTACAAACAACAACAGGTAGGAGCGCTTATCTTACATTGAAATGACAACATGTTAATACTTCATGTTATATGCAGATCACAATAATCTAGTCAATCAGTTCTGCTCTAATGCAAACAGCCTTTACAAAGTGCTCACAGAACAGCTGGTGGTTGAGTCTGTCCAGAGAGAGGAGGATTTTCTGCTCTTCCAAGGAAATGGTGGTGAGTCCGTGCACTTGGCTGCGCTGCTGCACTGTTCCAGGCCTCTGTGTTTGGGCTGTTTCCATTGCAGCCACAATATCCCTTTCTTCCAGTAGGCCTTCAGCATGCACTTCACCCAGGTGTAACTGGGCTGCACTCTCCAAACCTGAGACCACAGGCAAAGTCACATCAGTGGTATGCATTCTCAGCTGTTTCCACTTTACTTTGTTGTTTGTTGTTTTTTATGGATGCAAATAAAGCTGAGCTGTTGTCTTTCTAAATTTCTGATGTCCCTG